CTAAAGACTTCCGTTTGAGCGCATTGAATTCGCGCAGCATTCGCACCAATTCAAAAAGGCAATTTCCAATTTGAAGGCTTGAAACAGCAACGAAACAATGATTTTGAACGAATAGCAAGAACGAGACCATAGAATATACGTATATATGTGCTCTAATGAAATGTAACTGCGCCTGAAAATGAATCGTTTACAATTTATTGAGAAGTTTGTTGTGACAAGCGTAACTTACAATTGCCAACCAACCACACATACGTACGAACATATGAATTGAATGAACAGAGTAATTTCATTCAATTTGCGTTGCAAAACAGAGAGAGAGAGAGAGAGAGAGAAAAAAAAATCGATTTCTTTTCGGTGCGGCAATCTCACGCTTTTCGGCAATTTCGCTACTATTTCATTTGGGAAATATTGACGTATGGTTTCACGAAACACGGCATATAGTTTCTTTCTCAATGGCAACGCCGAATGGAAACGCCTACATTTTACACAATCGCGTTCGGCATGAAAATCAAAAGAAAGAACGAAAAAAAAGTCGATGGCAAAACCAATCAAACAATTTGATCGGCTATTTTCAGCGGCAAAAAACCAAAACAGAAGAAGAAAAAAAAATCGTTCGTTTGTTGGTCGACACACAGATGATTCTCATGAGATGCAATCTTGCACCGCGAAATTTAAAATTTAAAGTCCCTCAAGTAGTTGCGCGGTGTGTGCCATGTGTTAACCGCCTTCGCTTCCCGATTTCATCGCCACAATGTCATACTTTCATTAAGAATGTACGTGACTTTGCACTACCATTAGCGTTTGTCGATCGCAAAATCACATACCGAGCTTCCCGGGCTTCCTTCAATCACACACACACACACACACACACACATACGAGGTTGTTCTCTTTTGTCTGGTTCGCCAGAACACAACGGAAAAACAAATTTGTTGCATGTATATATGAATGTTCGGCGGCCAACATAACGGATCAACTCACGATGATTTTCATATTTGTTGTTCGTGGTTGTTGGAGCTTGTGGCCGAGCCACCTCAATTCCATAAACCCAGCAATTTGTATGCTGAATCATAATTTTCTGATATTATAGGTTAAGTGTGGATACGGATGTATGAGCGCGCTCAGCGAGAGCAAGGTGAGAGAAAGAGAGCCTCAATCGATTTGTTTTCTACGAAAAAAAAAAACTTACTATTTTCGATTTTTCAGTGTGCCGATTCATTCAGCTGCCAAACACTCACCACATCCAAGTGGAATAAAAAGTGAAAAATTAAAAGTCTACCTTCACACATTAAAAACAAATTTTTCTCACGATTTTTCGATATCTCTGTGTTTTTTTCCCTTTGCTCTGTATTTCTCTCGTTTGCTATCTGTGTCTATCTCTCTCTCTTTCTCTCGGGAGTTGCTCGGCTTCGAATAATTCAGTTTGATGCGCGCGCTCCACAAATGCACGGATGCTTAGCTGTTGGCTGAGCTCAAGCCAAAGAAAATACTACTGCACAGTCAAAACACAGGGAAAAAAGAGCGGCGCAGCCACAGTTATTGCATTTGCATTAAATGCAGATTAGAAATGATTATGTTTTATAAACATTAACTGCACCTCACGCTTCTCTGTGGTCAATTGTTGCATTTTATTTTCGATATTATTTGTAACGATTTCGAAACTCTATTCTCGTCTCATTCGTTCTTTCTCCCGCATCTACACGGTGTGTCGATGTTGTTTCGCACACGGTAATGTGCCTGTGCATCGTGCTGATATATTAACGCTGCTGTGGCCGTTGTTGTTGTTGTTGTTGTTGTTGTTGTTGTTGCTGCTTTTGTTTTTAATGCGATGAACTCAACTTCACCAATCGAACACACTGTTTTGATTTCCAATTCCAATGTTCTCGTCGGTTTAACGGAGCAAACACCGAATTCATTTCCAACTATTTTTTTTTCTTCTTTGTTTGTGCACGAGAGTGCACCGTTGATTTAGATTTTGCTTTATTCTTTTGTTGTTGGTGATTTTTTTCGGGTTCGCTTAAATATTTATGTGGCACGAGGATTATGTAATTTTCAAAAGAAATAAAACACACTTTAAAACGTGCGCGCACAATTTTTTTCTTCTTTCGGACGAAGAAAAAACACACCACACGAAAAAGAGAGAGAAAAATCGGCAAAACGACGACCAAGGAGAAGCAGACCATCGAAAATGCACACACACACACACACACACAAAAAGTATTCCGAAACCGCCGTAACTTGTGCAGAAAGAGAGATATTGTCTTTTGTTCGCGCGCTCGCGCGCTCGCGCGCTCGTACTGTTCGATCTCTATCGGGGGAGAGGCTGAGGAGTTTTATTGTCTGTTTTCTTGATTAAATCGATACAAAAGGAAATGACTGCTAAAATGGCACATTATGTGTTGATTATCGATTTTTATTTCCTTTTGTTTGCTTTTGTTATGCGAAAGAATTGATTTTATTGACATTGCGGTAATCGCATTCGAAAAATGCATTTCTTACACACGTTACGTATGTGTACACATTGAAATTATGCAAGGTGTAATGAATCAGGCGGTACAAATTCACTCAAAATTGACATACGTATCCTTTTATATAATCGCCAATTTCGGACGGGATTGTCTTGTGGTGCGATGCGATGAGTGAAGGGCACAAGATCGTCTCTCATTCACTTTCACACATTCGATGTGTGTGTGTGCCTTCTTCTTCCATTCGATGAGGATGTTGTTCACTTCTTCTTTGTCGTTCTTTTTTACGAGGATAATTTTCTTGAATAATTTCCTCATACGTTTGGGAGATTCTTTGTTTTATGATCCAACTTCAGGCTAACCTTGTACGCGCGCAGACAACTTTTTTCCCGTCGGCTCGAACTTTTGTGTGCTTGCGTGTATTTCATTTTCTGCAACAATAAATCATCGTTCCCTCTGGACAATTATTTCGACTCAATAAACGTCTTACGCTGCATAACCATAAAAGAAATGACGTACAAGTGCATGCCGCTCAAGTTCGCTCACCAAGATGATTTCACATTTTAATTTACGTTGGTAACGCGATGCAAGTGAATTGGCTTGTCATAAATTAGTCAATTTATCAATTTTAATGGGCCCAACCAGCCAACTACCTGCCACACCACATACACACCGGATTGATAAATGACATTGATAAAATGGTGATTGGTAATTAAAATGCAATCTCTACGCAGTGCGCATGGTAACGCTTTTCACAAAACTCTTTTGTCGAAAAGAAAACTACAACATATATTACATTACTTTTCGACGTTTTCTCTCTCTCTCTCTCTCTCTTTCTCTGGTTCGCAGCAATAAATTGCTGATTCACTTCACCGACGAAGAAAAAAAAGTCGATTTAAAAAAAATTGGTTGTGACCGAAAAAATCAAATGCACCACCGTATTTGTAAAAGGTGCATACAGATTGTCGTCATGTCATACATTCCATACATGCACACCATGGAAATTGATAAAGGAATTGTGTGCGCTTTTTTTCTCGCTATGTCTTTTCTGTTCGTGTGCTAAATCATTAAATGTCAAATCGATTTGTTAATTTATTTTGTCGATTTTCACAATCGACAGACGGCGGTCGACCCACAATGACTTGATTCGGTTTGGATTGGATTCAATTCGATTCGCTTGCCACTTTAAACGTTGTTTCCTTGTTTTCCAATAATCCGTTAATGTTTACACTTTGAACAACCCAAAGAGAGAGAGAGAGAGAGAGAGGGAGAGAAGTGAATGAAAACCGAGACCCATCGACGAGACTTTTGCTTCTTTGGATTTATTTTTTCGCTGTTGTTCGTTGCATAAGAGAAACTTAATCGCAAAAGTTCATCCAGACGCTCGGTTTTCTCGGGTTCAACTCATGCACACGAATTTTTTTTCTCGCTTGTGTGTCGCAAAATACCCAATTAATTACCGGGAATTCATTCGCTTACCCAATTCGCGCTCGCCCTATGATCAAATTTTTTCAAGACACACACGAACAAATCTAGGCTGGAACAACTCGATCTGGTTGATATTTATTGATTAGCACGATTTTAACATGAAATATTAGAACATTTTCAGAACTTCAATCACAATTTTTGGCTTTGTTACAAATCACAATTCCCATGGTTTTTCTGCTGAAAATTAAATCCGTCGCAAATTTATTTGCTTTTCGGTGGTTGCGAAAATTGATTTCGACAAAACATGCATTTATTATATATTGTGATTGAAGCCCGCTTTTTAATTGCACGCCTATTAAATCGTTCATGGTTTTCTACACTCTGCCTCAATGATTAAAAGCGCTTCAAATTTTTATAGCGCACTTTGTGTAAATATCACTGATTTTTATGACTCTCAGGGGAAATACGTATGCACGCGGTTGTGAAAAAAAAACTCTATTTTTCATTTTCACTTTTCATGCGCCACCATTCGGTTTTTTTTGTTCGTTGTGTCTTTGCGATTTGCTCGGTTGATGATTGCATTCAACCATGTGTCCCATGCAAATTTACATCCCTTGACGGTGGTTTTTTGTTCTCGGGGAGGCGAAAGCAAATGTTTATAAATTGAAGTGGTTTTTGAACAGGGATTATCAGTCGAAAAGTACCAGCGACACGGTTTGCACGAAGGGATTTTGGCAAATCAAAGCAATTCTAACTGTTTTTACAACGAATCGATTTCAACGAACTTTTGGCATCTAAATTGCCATCGCACAAAGCTTACTTTTTACGATATAACGTTCACCTGCACATAAGTTTTCGATTTTTCACATGATATTCAACATCATTTTGCATAACATTTTGCAATTTATCGATAAATTTGTTCCGTTTGTTGCATAAATTCACCGACCAAATTTTTATTTTTTTGCATGTTTTAAAAGTATCAATGTTTCTCTATGGTGTGTGAATGTGTGTTGCGCACAAAAAATAAGTTCAATACATTTCTAGATTCAAGAATGAAAATGTTAATGGTTATTTTTTCTTGTACAATTTTGTGTCATTGCCATCTGTAGGTGCATCATCTCTAATCGCAGCCGTTTTCGCACAACAGCAACAACAGCATCAAACACAAGAAAATCTAAACGTTGAGGGAGCCTCCAGCAACGAGGCGCCGATACAGAAAATTAAAAGCGAACATTCATCATCAAGTATGCTGCTTCTTCAGCCGCAGGTGAGTGAGACATTCTCCAGCAAACACCACGAACCACAAATAAAAAAAACTATCGCCACACAATTCAATCATAAACAAAAAGAACAGTTATGATACTTAACGAGCGCGAGTAAAATTTCCGTTTAAACGTCTAATTGAGTCATGCATGGAAACATCGTTCGATGGCTCAATTTTTGTTGCTTTTTTCGTTTGCCGTTGACAAACTGTCCATCATTAATTTCCCATCAAAGGCGCGTCGACGATAACTTATTCAATCTAGAACCTTCAGCCACGGCAAATGGGTCATTTGGTAAAATGAGATTGGCTTTAGGCACATTTCTCCCTCTCTCTCCATTCACACGAATCCAAACAGAGATAGAGAGAGAGAGAGAGAGAGAGAGAGAGAGAGAGAGAGAGAGAGAGA